TCCTATCTCTCCTCTTCTCTCTCTCTCTCTCTCTCTCTCTTCTCTCTCTCTCTCTCCTCTTCTCTCTCTCTCTCTTCTCTCTCTCTCTCTCTCACGCTTGTCTCACCCACGCAAACCTCAACGGGCATGGCACTGACTCTATGACCAGAATCTATGGCGCACCAGCGCTGTCCTGGGCAGAGAGGGAGGGGTTCGCTCCAGACCACAGCACACCTCCCGCGCTGTTGCCGGGCTCATAGCACTTCAAGGTCCCGCGGCGCGTCCTGCTTATCAACGACAGTGACTCGGCAGTTTTCCACCCGTACACGCAGAGCCAGGAGCGGATGCAGGCATTAAGGTCAAGAGGGGGGGGGGGGCGCTGTGTCATGGTGTTGCGCCCAGTGACCACAGGATGCCGCGCGTGCGAGGGAGGGAAGACGCGGCGGCTCATGCGACGAATTGGCTTGGGCGCCGCTACTGCGCCGGAGCGCCGTACACGAGTGCAGAATGCCCTCTGTCGCCGCCGATGGGGCTGCTCCCTGAATGAATTTTTGCAAATTATTAGTTGACGGTGTGTAGGTAACAGTGGCTGGCTTCGCCCGTTCCACATTGCGGCGGCGCGGGTAAATACGCATAATCAATGCCGAATATGGCGAGCGTCTGCATCGAGAGCAGTGATATGGGACTGTTGCCCGCCAATGCAAAACACTCGTCGGGTTTTAATGAAGACTGTACTCGACCGACCTCCTGATAGAGTAGCACTCTATGCTTGCCGACCGGTCGGAGCGGTGATTTGCACAGATAATTCATTCAATTTGCAATACTTTTGCTTCTGTGCGGAAGGTGCAACCTTACACTCACCATGGTCTTGTGAGATCACCATCGGCTGGCATTGTAAATCTCCCATCGACTGGCAATTACATTTTTGCTTAAAAGCATCTCTTGACTTTGTGCTTAGTTAATTTTGGCCATCCTGCTCGCAGAGTGACGGCCATAATGTGCCACCCGGGAAAAATACTTATGACAAACAAAAAGATAGCGGCTCTGTGCATTCGATAGCACTGGTATAACGCTCTCAGTTGCCAGGACGAGACATTCATCGGATTTTGATTCCGTAAGTTGTTCAGTGCATTAGCGAGAAACACTAGTCACACAGATAAGGCAGTAGTAAAGCATTTTCCTCGGAAAAACCAGGGGAATGGAGATATAGTTAGGTCGATATTTCGGCAACATGCCTTTCTCGATACAACAGCACATGACTTCTACTATTGTTTCGAGAAGTAGACTTAATGTGCCACCTTAATGTGTCATATACTTAATGTGTCAACAATAGACTTCTGCTATTGTTCCGAGAAAGGCATGTTGCCAAAATATCAAACTAACTATATCTCCATTCTCCTGCTTTTTTCCGAGGAATACGGCTAAAACTCCTGTCTTATCTGTGTTTTGAATCCGATTGTATTCGATCGACCCACCTATAGCATGTCATGCAGTGCTTACGATCGGGCGGGGCGGTGATGTGTTCAGATGAAATGACGAAATTTAAACACTCGACTCTCGTGATTTCATTGCGGGAGCACTACAAGTCGCCAATGTAAGACTCTCAGCGGCCGACATGCCCTTTAAGTCTAAATTGCACTTCGACCGCGCATAGGGCCCCCTTCGGCCCTTAAGCCTTCCAACTGGGCGCTTGATCGTTGGTTTCGAAAATCCCTTTGGGGGTCCTCTTCGGCCCTCATCTAACTCTGCCTTTGGCCGACTTGGGGCTTCCTGCCAACACAGGTACCTCTGTTAGGTACTGTGGGTTCCTGGTCGATATCGCGGATCCTGGCCTTGTCCCTGCTTTTTGATAATGGGCCTTCATTCCCAGACCGACACGGAGCCGACTGTTCAGTAATGGTAGTGCATGACCAGCAAATAAGGCCTCATCGACCCAGGCTGTCGATCGGTGCAAAACGCCCTCGCAGTGACATTTGAGGCTCTGGCACTGCAGATCGGGCCTCTTGGAACAACATCTGGCCAGCTCTTTGGGCTCTGAAAAGACCCGAAGTCCTGAGAAGTTTCTTCCAGCCATAAGGCCCGGGCCCTTGCGGCCTGGCACTGCGGTTGATTTCCACGGTGATGCGCTCAGCTTGGTTTCAACGAAACATCCGTGTTACTTTTTTACATCGGGAATGTGAATCGAAATTGCCGAAGTCCGGAGGCACATCAGTTTTCGGGGGTAACTCAAACTCGGTCCCCCAATCGCTTTTAGAACGTGACACCCGTGGCCACTATCATAACACCGTGTAAGAGAACTTCCAGACTTTTCTGGACCGTCCCGGTCCAATTTACCTTAAAGATTAGCTCTTCAACCATTCTTTGATTAAAAATGTGGAAATGATGGGATATTATGGAATTAATACAAACATCTTATCCGTAGGTTTCAGCAAACAGCTCAAGTGGTTACATCACGATAGCAGCCTTCTGTACGAGGCAGCACTTTAAGGTCGTCCTTTTCTTCTTGGTAAATATCTCCTCGTGGCCTTGAAAATATCAGAATCATCCTACAGGGGCAAGGTTCTCGGAAACTCAATGCAAGCAGGGGGTGGTGATAGAGTGCTCGGTGGCATATTCTTTCTTGTCTATTACTGTGTCACACCAGTAGATTGCAATTGCCATCGTCGGATTGAAGTGCAGCGCGGCACGCATACTGGCTGTGTTTGACTTCGTAGCAGGAGGAGTCTGATTGTTTTATTTAGGCAACAAGCGAATCGTGAGTCTAGTTTGCGACGTCCGCGAGTTGCTGCGGTCGGCTGGCAGCCTTAGAGCCCAAGGTAATTTTACGGAGGAAGCCAGTTGAATTGCTACTGCCCACCACCATTTTGGAAGATGGCTGGTTATTTTGAGGAGCACAACTGCACACCACTGCCTGATGGAGCAGCCCCAGATGCTCTGCTGCAGTTTGCCAGGTATGTCCTGTCACTTGGGTCAATTCTACTTGTTAGTCTATTTGTTGTGCCAGAATTAGAAGAGCAGGGAACTTTGGGTACTCCTGTGTGTTGAATGTGGTTATGCACACACCTCAGGCTTTTGAGTGGGTGAGACAAAATATATTTGTAGCACTGTTAGCTCTAAGTTTATAATAATTTGCAGTGACTGATGATGCAGATATGGAAAATCTTATCTGATGTCACTATTTACCTTTTTTCTGTGTTGGCTGTCAGTGTTTGACCACTTAACCTTTGACTTCCATGCCTTCAGGTTCCTGGCACAGTCTGGTTGGAGCACAGTATTTGAGGATGACTTCAGAAACCTTATGGATGGCATTCCATCCCCACCAGCAGCCAAGGCAGTGGTAGAGGGCCTTGCACAGATTGAGATCACAAAAGAAGGTACAGAATCTTGGGTTTTATGTTGTGTATATGTCTTTCTGTCACTGCTCATTATGTGTGGATCTCCTTCTATCACTACAGATACTTTTGGGTGCACTTTAATTGATTTGTCATGTGTTTCTGGCAGTAGATGTCATGCTGCATTGTTCAGCATGATGCTAGATATTTATCTCTAACTGTATCTCATACTCCTAGAATCTAAAAACTTGGATATATAGCAAAGTCATATTACATACTTATGGCCCTGAGGTCTTTCTTGTTACATGACAGAGCATATCAGGTTGATGTTAGTCCTTTGACATATGTGCTGTGTTGTCACAGAAGGCTCAGGTAGTGTCCTTAACAGAATACTAGGCCTGAAACTGAGAAACCTGGACTTGGGGTACCCTGCACCTTGTACAGTCATTCACTGGCCCTGCCACACTGGAATGATGTGCCAACCATGATAACAGCAGCATGCAGCAACCAACAACATACTTGTCATTGTCATGGCAGGTGTGCAGTGTCCAGTCTGCCTGAAGGAGTTTGATTTCTGTGAAGTGGCCAGGCAGTTGCCTTGCAAGCACCAGTACCATGCTGACTGCATTGTGCCCTGGCTTCAAAAGGTAGGTGTTTCTTCAAATGGAGGGTATTTCTTCATGACTGATTCCAGTGCAGTAGCCAGGGGAAGAACATGGTTGCATTAGGGGCTTCAGGCTTTGCAGGTTATACCTTTGGGCTTAGAACACTTGACAAGCAGAGCTTGTGGTGTAACAGCCTTTTTGTATCAGTAGAATTGTGGACAACAACTAAGAAGGGAGGAGTGGCTCATAATGATAGAGGGCAATGTAAAATTGAATTAAGCCTTCAGATTACACACTGAATAGGAGCCATCACACTGAGCTGTCACATGTTTATACATGATGATGTGACTGTCACCAGCTGTCACTAACTGGACTGTGAGCTGACCATTGAAAGCCGAGTCCAGTGTCGGTCCAGTGGAGCTGTGTTAGCCAACTGTCACTGGTTGCCTATGTCTGTAATGCTCTTCTGCGAGGGAGCCGTGGTAGTCAGCTGTCACTGGTCGCCTATGTTGGTAATGCATTGCTGCGGGGAGCCATGTTAGTCATCTGTCACTGGCTGCCTATGTTGGTAATGTTCTGCTGCGAAGGAGCCTTGGTAGTTAGCTGTCACTGGTTGCTGGTGTTGTTAATGCTGTGCTGCATGGGAGCTGTGTAGTCAACTGTCACTGGTCACCTATGTTGGTATTGCTGTGCTGTAGGAGCTGTGGTAGTCAGCTGTCACTGGTCACCTATGTTGGTAATGCTATGCTGCATAGGAGCTGTGGTAGTCTGCTGTCACTGGTCGCCTATGTCGGTAATGCCATGCTGCGCAGGAACTGTGGTAGTCAGCCGTCACAGGTCGCTTGTGTTGGTAATGCCATGCTCCCCACCGCCCGCGCGTCTGTAGCAGGGCGCGAGGACCGTGGAGCGCCTACAGACCGGCGTCTGACGAACCCCTGCGGCACGTGTTTCAGACCAACACGTGCCCCACGTGCCGCCTGGAGCTGCCCACGGACGACGAGGCGTATGAGGCCCAGAGGAAGTACAAGGTAGGCGCGACAGATGCTGCTGCCACCTATGAGCCGCCCGGTGACAAAGACCCGCGCGGCATACTAGAGCTTTCCAGGTGTCACGAGAGAGGGCGCCCCGAGCGCTGGCACTGGCCCGGGCCGTGGCTGGTTGGTGTGGGCGGGCGCGGCGCACGGTGGGGTGCGGGGCGACGTGCCGGGTCAGCCGGAGGCGCACCTCCGGCCGCCAGCGTCGCCGCTCGCCGGTCGGAAGCTGGCGCCGGTCGGCTCTGCGATGCCTGCCGCGGCGACGCTCAGCTCCAGGCTGTCATAGAAATGGCAACTTTCAAAGAAAGGAGCTTTCGGGTGGTTTATCGGTGTTTGTAGGCTCGAAGGAAAGCACACAGAAAACGAGTGAGTTATCGTATATATAAGTCACTGAGTTATTAGTTGACCTTAGTGCAAATGCTCCTCAAGTTTTCCCCACATACCCCAATGGGGACTGCAAAGTAAAAACACGGTCGGTTTTCGCGTTTAAAGTGAAGAGTCTGCACGTGGGTCATTTGACCGAAGCTGTGGTGCAAGCATTGATGCGTGATGCTAATGGCTGGATTTTTCTTGTTCGCTCCCCCATCCGCCCAAACACAATTCGACCCGGTGGGCGGGGGGGGGGGGGGGGGGGGGGGGGGGTCAGAAAGACAAGGCCATTCACCGCCGTCCTCAAGAAGTATGTCTGGACATATCTTGAATCTTGCCTGTGCAGTGTCACACGTATCGATGTGCCCTGTCCCAACAGAAGAGTTTGTTCTTCATGTACGCGCATTTGCCAACGTTTTAAACGCACCCAATTTGCACGTTGATGCACCTTTATTCTACACCTACGTGTACAAGGCGTTGGAGGCATGCAGCAACCGCTAATCCATAAAACTATGATCTCATGAGTGCATGAGGCTAGGGGCCACCTAAATCTCGAACGCTTTGAGAGGCCTTCTGAGTTTAACTATCTTGATCGATAGGTCACAGTCTTCGCGATGTATACGGAACATTAACTGGACGGAAAACAAAATGATTGTTTACCTAAAGGTGTGGTTTTGTGACTGAGGTCATTGTGTTGTTTTGCATCCATCATTTTTGTGCCCTCTTATCCTCATTGGGCCTCACCCCCTACAGGGTCAGACTGGCCTAACATGAAAGCTGCCACAGCATTGTCATCGGTTAGTGGTGATAACAAACGTCCTTATGCAGGCATGTCTGGGAATGATCGCAATTGTCGCTGTTTGTAAACGCTTTACGCAGGCATGTTTACGAATGATCGCAATCAAAGTCCCGTGAACTTGTAAACTGCGTAATCCGACATTGCTTGAAACAGAGGCCAACCCAGCCACCTCAGTTACATAAGATCACTGTTGCTGCCGCTGGTTTATGAGAGCAGGTTTCACCCTTATTGAAGGCGTTGCCTGTCCGTTCCCACGGGCGTCATCCTTCAGAGTGTTCCGCTCACGTCCTGCCCGAACAGGTACAACACATTCGGCTGCCTCTAGGCGACATTAGAGGTGTTGCCAAGAGGCAGCCGAATGCTCCGCGAAAAGGGAGTAACAAGACCTGTTTAGAGACCCATTATGAACACCACGCCTGTCAAAGAACTGGCAAACACCCCGGGTGGTTGTGTAGATTTTGTTGCTTTTCGATGATTTTTTCGAGAGAAAAAATTGTTTTTGTTGAATGCTCACGAAGCATTCAGTACATGCCGGCTCTCACCGCAGTTAAGCGAACGGAACTTTGACGTCGAGCGCGAACGAGAAGGTTGGGTCCACGCGCCCTTGACAGGGGGGGGGGGGAGCTTTGGTCCGTGCTCCAGGCCGGCAGGCCGGTAACTATATATCTTTTCAGAGGATAGCCGGGTGATAATTTGTGTGGGCAAGCTGCCCTATAGTGGCGGCATCTCTTGGCCGAGAAACAGGTGGTTAATTCCAAGGGATGAGCTGGCGGCGGAAGCAACGCCCCCCCCCCCCCCCCCTCCCCCTCCAAGAAAGGTGTGCTCTGGCGTTATTTCGAATTGGGGTGTTCTGTCAGTGATCTCGTTCCAACTAGTTGAATGACGGTAAATATCTAACTACAACGTCGACCTATTCGTGCCTCGGCTGCCGTGAGATTGGGGGGCAAATGACTGGGCTGTAGAGCGAGGAATAAGCGTGCGAGCTGGTAACAGGCATCGTAATTTTTTGCAGCATTCTGCATAGGAATTTCGTATATACAAACGCAGCAGCAGGACATGTACTGCCTTGACTCCCTACAGCAGGAGCGGCATGTTATTGGGCCGTGCAGCCTAAGTCTGGAGTGTGAACTGTAGCGAAGGAGGGTCTCTATGACTGGATTGTGTGCTCTGCTGTATAGCAGATGGTCTTGCGTTATGTGCGCTGCGCTGGCCGTCAGCCAGGTCACTGACCCGCTGTCTGATGCGTTCTCCTCTATTACAGGCCAGGTCGAAGCAGCGGGAGCAAGACTTAGAAAATTTGCACAACTCGATGTTTGGTTAGAACGACGGAGTCGTGATTGCGACATTAAACCTGATTGCACTGGGCCATTGTAATCGATCCAGCGCATGTGTCGTACAAACTATCCAGTGTCATATTGCAGAGTGTTGTTGAGAGCGTCGTCCTTACCCAATACATGTGTATGTACGACACGAAACGTGCCGCTGCGGGTTGCGGGGTTCGCAGTGAAATACCTTTGCCTTTAGCTGTGGTAATGACCTTGACATTGTGTGGGGTCTTGGGATTCCAGAGTACGGCAACCATGATGTTGTGGTCACGTTTAACCAAAGGGCGTGTTTCGACCATGTCGTTTATGTTCCTGTCCCAGATTAGGCCAATGATTTGAAGCTTCGTTTGTTTCCAACGTTTTAGTGCAATTTGCCCAAAAATACATGACTCCGATATGACTTTCTATACCATTCTGCCGACGTCTGAGATGGTCGCTGTGGCCAGCCGCTGCTGATCCGGTCCGAGGCCACGCTACACACGGATCGCTCTGCCTGCTCGTGGTGTGACAGTGTATGTGGGTGCAGTCATGGCTGTCACCGTGAGACGACCGGGTGGTCATCACATACGGACCACTACACGGGTGCAGTCGTGACCGTCACCGTCAGACGGCCGGGTGGTCACCACATACGGACTACTACACGGGTGCAGTCGTGACTTTCACCGTCAGACTGCCGGGTGGCCACCACATGCTGACTACTACACGGGTGCAGTCGTGACCTCACCGTCAGACGGCCGGGTGGTCATCACATACAGACTACTACACGGGTGCAGTCGTGACCTTCACCGTCAGACGGCCGGGTGGTCATCACATGCGGACTACTACACGGGTGCAGTCGTGACCGTCACTGGCAGCCGGTCAGGTGGCCATCACATACGGACTACTACACGGGTGCAGTCGTGACCTTCACCGTCAGACGGCCGGCTGGTCATCACATGCGGACTACTACACGGGTGCAGTCGTGACCGTCACTGGCAGCCGGTCAGGTGGCCACCACATACGGACTACTACACGGGTGCAGTCGTGACCGTCACTGGCAGCCGGTCAGGTGGCCACCACATACGGACTACTACACGGGTGCAGTCGTGACCGTCACTGGCAGCCGGTCAGGTGGCCATCACATACGGACTACTACACGGGTGCAGTCGTGGCCGTCACTGGCAGCCGGTCAGGTGGCCACCACATACGGACCACTACACGGGTGCAGTCGTGGCCGTCACTGGCAGCCGGTCAGGTGGCCACCACATACGGACTTCTACACGGGTGCAGTCGTGGTCGTCACTGACAGCCGGTCAGGTGGCCACCACATACGGACCACTACACGGGGCAGTCGTGAGTCGTTCACCGTCAGACGGCAGGTGGCCACCACATACGGACTACTACACGGGTGCAGTCGTGGTCGTCACTGACAGCCGGTCAGGTGGCCACCACACACGGACTACTACACGGGTGCAGTCGTGACCTTCACCGTCAGACGGCCGGGTGGCCACCACATACGGACTACTACACGGGTGCAGTCGTGACCTTCACCGTCAGACGGCCGGGTGGTCATCACATACGGACTACTACACGGGTGCAGTCGTGACCTTCACCGTCAGACGGCCGGGTGGTCATCACATGCGGACTACTACACGGGTGCAGTCGTGACCTTCACCGTCAGACGGCCGGGTGGTCATCACATGCGGACTACTACACGGGTGCAGTCGTGACCTTCACCGTCAGACGGCCGGGTGGCCACCACATACGGACTACTACACGGGTGCAGTCGTGACCTTCACCGTCAGACGGCCGGGTGGCCATCCACACACGGACCACTACACGGGTGCAGTCGTGACCTTCACCGTCAGACGGTCGGGTGGTCATCACATGCGGACTACTACACGGGTGCAGTCATGCCCGTCACCTTCAGACGACCGGGCGTGACCCGCTGGGCAGTCACCCCTCATGCACGGGCTGTGTGCTGGCCGCCGGCCGCTGTGGCGGGTTCGAGTCTAGTGCACACGGCGACAGCAGCAGCAGAGGTCGGCCAGTCAGACTGCTCGCCGGTGACCGGTGAAGAGTCCGCCTGCCACGCCGCCCGCCCGCACTGTGCCGGGACCCTCGGTGGCGAGCCAGGACCAGACTTGTCGAGAAGAACTGCTCGGTGTCCTGGCTCATGACGGTCGGCAGCACAGCTGCAAGGACGGTTACCATGGATGCTCTCTGGCTCTGAAATTAGCACATGCAGTGTTGTGTTGTTTACATTCCTACTCATGCCACTTCACCCCGGCCAGCGAACATTCGCGATGTCATTGTCGAAAGCTAGCCAACCACGCAGCTGGGATGACTCCCGTCCTGTGATCTGGCTGCAGTACGAATTCACAGGGGCGTGGCTGACTGGCGCACGGATCAGGATCACGCGGGGAAGAGGGGCTGCCATCAGACGTCACGTACAGCCGTCATGAGCTGCGGCACTTGCCGGTATCGACGTGGGCTCAGACATATCCAGCGCGCTGCGCGCTTACCTTTGGCTGACCGAGCAGCGACTTACCCGTGCCAAACACCCGTGTCCTTGGCAGTGACTCGCCAGGCTCGGCGGTGCAAATGCGAGCAATTTACGACTGTGGCGTGCGAGCCAAAACCCTGCGGTGTACGGTCCAATAATGTATTGCGTGCTTCGAATAGCACCTGCCGCCAGTTCCGCAACTGTAAAAGCGTGGCCATTGCCACCAGCGCTGTTGTAAGCTCGCTCTGAAATGATTTCTAAGCTCGCTGTGAAATGAGTTAATGTAAGTTCACTAAATTTTGTGCCGCGTGGACAAGCATGCATCGGTGTAGCCACCCGCACAATATTTCCGTGATATGGGAGTTTGACTTCAGGGGAGGGGGTGGGGGCGAGGTCACCTGGCAGAAACCACCACCGTGAGTGAATGCCCCGGCCATCTTGCTTTCACAATATTCTTAGGGGCCTGAGGATCTGGAGATCTCTTGTCAGGTCCGTTGTTATCAGGCTCGCCCCGCCGGGTGCGCCTGATGTCCTGATATCAGGCGTCCGGGCAAACTGACCCTCCAGCGCTCTGAAGCGCGCGCCGGGTAATGTGAAACTGGGCGGTGTCCGGGCACACGATCTTTCGGCGCTCTGTAGCGCGCGCCGGGTAGTGTGGAACTGGGCGGTGTGCGGGCACACTATCTTTCGGCGCTCTGTAGCGCGCGCGGGGCAGTGTGAAGCTGAGCGGTGTGCGGGCACACGATCTTTCAGCGCTCTGTAGCGCGCGCGGGGCAGTGTGAAACTGAGCGGTGTGCGGGCACACGATCTTTCGGCACTCTGTCGCGCGCGCGGGGCAGTGTGAAACTGAGCGGTGTGCGGGCACACGATCTTTCGGCACTCTGTAGCGCGCGCGGGGCAGTGTGAAACTGAGCGGTGTGCGGGCACACGATCTTTCGGCACTCTGTAGCGCGCGCGGGGCAGTGTGAAACTGAGCGGTGTGCGGGCACACAATCTTTCGTCACTCTGTAGCGCGCGCGGGGCGGTGTGAACTGGGCGGTGTGCGAGCACACGATCTTTCGGCGCTCTGTAGCGGTAGCGCGCGCGGAACAGTGTGAAACTGGGCGGTGTGCGGGCACACGATCTTTCGGCGCTCTGTAGCAGTAGCGCGCGCGGAACAGTGTGAAACTGGGCGGTGTGCGGGCACACGATCTTTCGGCGCTCTGCAACGCGCGCGGGGCAGTGTGAAACTGGGCGGTGTGCGGCCACCCTCAGCTCGTGTTTTCTTTAACGCCCCTGACCTTGAGTCTGGTGGTGAAAGAGTGCGGACACGCGCACCTACCTCGTACACCATCTAAATGCATGTTCATCATGGTGTTGACAAAACATATAGCTGAAGTGATTGAAGAGATGGCGCCTATCAGAATCTTCTCTTAACGTGCTTTACCAGAACGAACGCGGTTTCACTTGCAAGAAGCAGCTGTTCAACCACAACAGTTCGAACTTACTGATATGTCGCCACTTTTGCGCTTTGCCTCCGTTCGCCACCCAGTGGACTTAGACGTTACCGCAGTGAATGCATTGAGAGGTTCCATTTCGGAATATCTGTTTTCAGAAGTCTAATGTTCTGACAGGACATGTGCTGGATTTTACAATGGGTGAGGGTGCTAGTAAAAAAAAAAACTAATTGAAAACCTGATATACAGTGCGTCGGATTTGTTTGTGGTTCGTAAATGAACAGCCCATGTCCTTGATGGTCTTAACCTTATATGCACTTGGAAACCTTGGTTGTTAGCAGTTCTCATGTACATATTGCTACAGAACATAACTTTGAGGGGCAGCACTTGCTCCGGGAGCTATTAAGTGCGTGCGCCCTTGCACTCTGAAAGCCTTTTCTAAGAAGGCCCACGCGCAGAAATCCCACGTTCAGAGGGGCTATTTTTGGAGGGCCTATCGTAAGGCTGCTTGTTTTCACGCTTTTCAGAAGGCCGAGTATCGGTACGCGTGCTTTCAAAAGACCTGCTTTCAGAAAGCCTCACGGTCTCATGAAGTATCTTTCAGTGAACCTGTGTTCAGATGGCCCATTTTGATAACACTTCTAATTTCACAATCCCCTGAAGGCACAATGCATAGTTTAGTAGAAATGCATTCAAAGGTATTCCTGCCGAAAGCCTGCTCACACAGCGATTCTGTTCGCATAGCTCACTTACAGAAGTAATGTATGGAGCTGCCAGCCCACTTCCAGAAGTCATGTGTGGAGCTGCTAGCCCACTTACAGAAGTCATGTGTGGAGCTGCTAGCCCACTTACAGAAGTCATGTGTGGAGCTGCTAGCCCACTTACAGAAGTCGTGTGTGGAGCTGCCAGCCCACTTACAGAAGTCGTGTGTGGAGCCGCAAGAAGCCTTTTCGCACATGGCTTGTGTAAAGAAGGCCTATGAGCCTCTGCTTTGCTCTTGTCTTATTGTGACTGATCGACACAGGTTGCACCGGGATTATCTTAGAAATTATATTGGGTTGTACTAGATATTATGAGGGATTACATTAGACTGCGCCGATATCATATTAGGTTGCACCGGGACTATATTAGCTTGCACAGGGACTGTATTAGCTTGCAGCGGGATTGTATTAGGTTGCACCGAGATTATATCAGGATGCACCGAGATTGTGTTAGGCTGCACCGAGATTATATAAGGCTGCACTGAGATTGTATTAGGTTGCACCGAAATTATGTTGGGCTGCACCGAGATTGTATTAGGCTGCACCGATATTGTATCAGGCTGCACCGAGATTGTATTAGGCTGCGCCGGGATTATATTAGGCTGTACCGAGATCATATTACGCTGCACCAAGATTATAGTAGGCTACACCGAGATTATAATAGGTTGCACCGAGATTGTATTAGGTTGCACGGGGACTATATTAGCTTGCACAGGGGCTGTATT